TCCAAATTAATTAATACAAAGTGCAATAAGGCACTATGTAACCGGGGAAATGAGCGGAGGTTCCAGACCGACCTGGCTCACCCGCACGGCTGAAAAAGAAATAATACGCCAGCCACCTCTTGAATGAATGAATAATATTAATAGTCTCCCCATTCCACATCGATGACAGCGCCCGCCCCAGTTTACTTTACTTGGTCTACATGGGGAACTGATCCCTGGCACCTTGCCCAAGGTCCTGGAATTTCGAGCTCCATAGTAAAAGGGATCGTATGGATCTAATTACTGGGTCGAGAGACCATGCCAGAGCTAGGTTGGCGCTTGGGGGAATGTTCCGTAGGCTCAGGCACCGTACTAGCATCTACGTAAGGGTAGAAGATTCTCCTTCATTAGTTCACATCACGCTTCCACCCCCACTCGGCGGCCTGGATGAACAGCTAATTTGCCGGAGTCGCCTTAAGCGCCAATTTAACATCTACCGCCGCATCACCGCCATTCTAGAGACCTTCTCGCGGAGGGCGGCGAGGTGGAATCAAGATGGGAGTGATCTGCATCTTCAGCGCGGCTTGGCATCCAGAAGCGAGGTGATACAGGCGTGAGCGAGAGAAGAAGAGAGCTGAGAAAGAGGGGTGGTAGCATGTCGTTGTTGGATCAATCGTGCAGGAAATCATGCTTCTCATGGCCAAAGCTGGCATATCGCTACCAAGCCATCCCCAATCTTGGCACTGCGCATGTCTCCGAAATACGGCGGTTCTAGCATGTTTCTAGAAGCATTCGCCGGAATGATGTATTCGTTGCCTGTCTGACCATCTCCTGCGGTCGGCCTGGTCGATCAACGTCAGCTCGCCCGGTGTTGCACAGCATCATTTGGTGTACACCCTCCCCGTCCCCGTCAAGGTCATCGGCCTGCCGTTATTTCCAAACCTTGACTTGTCCAATCGATATCCTCTCGGGCGTTGTTCCATACTGCCTGTGCACGTCGGGCTCTCGGGCAACAGCTCCCTGTCCAACCCGGGATGCACAACGCTGTTTCCGCGGCAGACGCCTCGCATATTCCATGAGGTTCTTGACCCCCCTTTGCTTCCCGACCATGTCGTAGTGCCGCGTGCGAGCGCCAAGTCCCGCTGCATGCTCATCTGACATATCGTGTAGCTTCAGCTTGGCTCACCTCTGTTCCAGCAAGCAAGGGAAAGTGAACCCCCCCAGCGTACCATTGCTGTCCTATCGGGTGCCAGGAACGTGCAACAGACGGAACGTCACCACCACTTGCTTTGATTGATGTGGTGAGAATGATGTAAAACGGGTCTGCGCGCGGTGACTGGTGGGGGACAAAAGACCAGGGAAGGGAAAATCGCCCATGATGCTGCATGCCCACAACCTCACCACTGCCCTCCTACCACATCCCTTGTACGCGGGCAATCACACACAGGCAATCACTCTCCTCTCATACACACACACTCGCTGCGCGCAAACACATGTGGGTGTATGTGCTAATGTATGTATATGTAAGTACGGAGACATGCAAGCACACGCAGCCACGCATGCGCACACCACACGCATGCTTTGCTATATAATTACACACCGAACGAAGCCGGGTGATCCAATTGGTGTCCGGTCCCGTCCAGTGCGCGAACCAGGTCATCAGCCTCCATCCACAACCTAAGTGAAATGCACATTTCTCCGGGGTTGTGCTTCAATTCCCCTCCGGAAGAGTCAGACTTGCGGTCGGGCCGGCACGAAGCTCTCATGACCAGTTTCACAGCCCCATAGCTACCTAGCTGTCGCCGTGAAAAAAATTAAGGATGACTTACACCGCCTCTACACACAAGTCTCTCTCGACCGACATTGATTGGCCGGGATAGAGCCATATGCGTTGTTCTCCCGCATCGAAGCGCCTGTGACACGCTTTGCTGCCAGCGCCAGCCGGGCGTTTTCCCATTATCCAGCGACGTCCAACGTGGGCGGGAGGAGGAGAAGGAGGAGGAGGAGGAGGAGGAGGAGGAGGCAGACAGGCATGCGGTCATGATCTAAGCAAGTAATCTAGCGTCTATCTTAGGCAAACCCCCCCCTTCCCTTCCTTACGGCGTCCGTAGCCAGATCCGTGATTGATGCTACCACGGTATTCGTCCAGGGTCGCATCGGATCCAAGACACAAAGCAGGAAAATATCGGTTTCTCACAAGCGATCCGCATCCTTGCAGCAATCCCGCCCGCCCATTGTGTTCTTCTCGTAACGGCAGGCGCGCATGTACTTGCGGGCATCTCCAAGGTGATCCTTTTCTTACATGTCGCATCCGTGTACGGATAGATGCATGCATGCTGTGACGGTTGATGCGAGGGGTACCTACTTTCCTCTTCCCGCCGGACGCAACACCACATGGCGTGGCATGTGGAATCAATTGATTGATCAATCGGGTAGCAGGCTGGTTAGTTTAGGCAGTAGGCGATTCGTTTCCAGCATCCGAAATCACAATCGCATCTTTTCGGTGACTAGCGGAATCGCTAGTGTCAATGCCACATAATACCCCGGTGTGCCCTGCCCTACTAACAAGACGGCTGCGTGTGCGACAGCGGCGACGACGGAGACATATGCAAGAATTCCTCGGCGACGAGTTTCAAAGCGCTTAGGACAGAGAAGAGTCATACATAGAGGGTCGACAACGACGGCTGCTATGCTGTTCCGCCCCCATATCGCGCGGTGATCACGACTCGGCGCTTACCAGCCAGCCTCTGGTTGCTGACCACGTCAAAAGGGCATTTTGGAGCCAGTGCCCAGCTGGCATATCCGTGGCTTAGAGTTGGAATTTTTCTCTTCTTGGCCCGTGAGCTGACGATGTGATGAGACGACGACGGGCCAGCCCCCCATCCCCACCAGGCTGGTATTGGCATCAGTTGATACACAGACCCAACACTGTACGACGGTTGCCGCATAGACTGTCCATCCATGAGAGAAAGTCGGGCATTGAGACGGCAATTAGCACCCTGGCACGGTTTACGAGGCAGGAAATTGTGGTATAATTTTTTTTTTTTGTCTTGTAGAGTAGGGCAGCGCTAAAACGGCTGAAATTGTTGGCAATTAGCCAGCGTCTGTCATCTCAGCCCAGCTTCGGTCATGATTAACAATATACGCCGAACTCCCATACAGTTGGGAACTGGAAAAAGCAATAGAGCGTGGCTATACCAAATGAGCGTAGAACAATAGAACAGCCCACCCACCGCCACGGCAATTGGCAAGGTATCTGCCCAGCTGTAAGTTCAGGCACCTTATTTCCTTGGTGCGAGTATTCGGTAAGCCAAGGTAAGGTATACACACCCCCTTCTGCTGCTCTCACCTAGGAGAATGCAGAGCCAGAGCCTGCGCAAGGCGAGCCAGGCAGGGAAGCGGGAGAGCTGCATACATGGACGGCGACAGCAAGGCAGCGTGCAGAAAACGAGGGCCAAGCGATGCAAACCCCCAGAGGCGTTTCACCCGTTGCCCGTCACTCGTCACTCGTCACTCTCGCGCAGGCTTGCGCTCTGGCTGGCTCAATCTCCCCGGTTGCACGCTATCATAATTGACTGCTGGATCTTATACCCCCCCTGCTCGCTGCGCTTCTCGCTCACCCGCCCTGGGCTGGCCAGGCTTCACCTACTGCCTACCTGACCTTACCTCACTGCCTACATACACGTTGTCGTGCTTGTCCTCCGCCCCGCCCTCCCCCTCTTCTGGGCCCTCTGTCGAAAAAGGATGGCTTCGACGGAATTGTCTTGGGGTTGGGCTGGGTCCATCCTGTCCCTCGGATTGTCACACCCGGGCAGCGCTCGGCAGGCCAGCCCCTGTCGCACGCCAATAGGTACCTCGAATGTATCCTGTCCTGCTCCATGTTCCATGTTGCCGCCGGAAGCCTCGCCCTAGACTGTGGCCTACTGAACAGCGCACTAAAATTGAGCTACGCCATCAAATCCAGCAGGACGACTTGACACCCACTAGTTTCCCCCCATCTCCTTCAGAAATGAGTTCTCCGTAAGGCAGCCTTGGCAGTACCCAAGGCCTGGGAAGGGAACCTTGCTTTATGCAGCAAGGGTGCCTCGTTTCCTTCTGACTGGTAAAAAGAACAAAAGCAAAGAACCCAAAAAAAGTCTTTTCCCTTGCTTCACCCCCAAGCACCCCCCTTCTCCCACTCCCCTCAAATCTTTCGACCTCGCACGCCCTCACCCCCTGGATGATGCCCATGCTTGACCCTGGACCAAGCGTCCATGGATCTCTACCTCCAGTCAGGTGGCTCTCGAGATCAACCTCCTAGCCATTACTCATGTCACCGCCTCCCTGAGATCTTTGGAGCCCTAGCACGGTGAATCCGTAGCCTTTCGACTAACATGGCGAGTACGAGCACTTGGCCTCACACCGGTTGTGATCCCCGGCATATGGCCCGCCGCCCATGCTCCATATGACGGCTTTATTGCTTATTACCCTAATGGGCCTTGTTTGATAATTTGGATGTGAACTCTATGGGCCGGGCGTGCAAGGGTACTAGTTGCTTGCTCTTTGATTCTTTCATATAGTATATGACCTGGCGGGTGTCCACTCCAGTCTTGTTGTCACAAACACTCCCTCTTCTTTTCTGCCCAAGAGACAGAGCGTCATACCTTGCTCTCGTGTATACATAAACATAGCCTCCGTGACTACTTCTCCTCTATTCAAGACCTCGCAATACTTCTTCTTCATCTTCGCCTTTCTCCTACTACTGTCCCTCCAAGGCATCACCATTTAGACACACAAGTGCTACCGTCTCTTATCTGGACCTTTTCCCTCGGTTTCACCTGTTCTCCTTTACAACCTAGGAGCGGACTAGAGCAGCTCTTCCTGCCTCAGCATTCACCACTATCCTTACAAACGCCATCACTTCAACCAAAGGACTTCGCCGCAGCAAGTCGGGTTTATCTCGTTGCTGAACCGTTATTGAATGGGGGTTTGCGTACTGGTATAGGGCTTCAACTACAGGACTCGCAGTCTTGCTTGTCAAAATGAGGAGATACGGTTCAATTGCTCCCTCCGTCGGGAGCGAGGCCAAGTCCACTCCTCCCTTCCCCGCCAAACAGATGTTTGTTCTAGGTAAGTTTTCCAATCTCGCACGGACGCCTGCCTTGGTCGGCTTTTCTCACAACTGCTGTAGCCTGCTGCCGGATATGTGAGCCAATTGCTTTCATGTCCATCTTCCCCTACATCTACTACATGATTGAGGACTTCCACATCACGGATGACGCCAGCAAGATCTCGGTGTATGCTGGCATGGTCACCTCGGCCTTCACTCTGGCGGAATTCGCGACTGGTGTTCTGTGGGGGAAGCTCAGCGACAAGATTGGTCGCAAGCCGGTTTTACTCTCTGGTCTGGTTGGAACGGCAATCAGCGTCCTGATTTTTGGTTTTGCTCCCAACCTGCCGGTTGCGCTTCTCGCTCGAGCTCTTGGTGGACTTCTCAATGGGTATGTTTCGCGTGGCATGAGACGACGGTGGAATGAGGCTGATCGGAAATCGCACAGAAATATCGGTGTCTTGCAAACGACAGTGGCGGAATTGGTCACGGTCAAGGAGCAGCAGCGTAGGTTCTCCCACACCCTCCTTCTTGCGAAGGGCGAACCTTGAATTTGACTGACTTTTTCAAACAGCCCGAGCTTACACAATAATGCCAATGGTTTGGTGTATTGGGTAAGTGGCCACCCCGCAGTGTTTGAGGCGTTCTTATCGCTGACTAGCATCGCAATAGTTCAATTATAGGCCCGATGATTGGAGGCGCTCTAGCCCGACCTTGCATCAGCTATCCGGAAATCTTCGCCCGCGGAACCATCTGGGACCGCTACCCCTACCTCTTGCCTAACCTGTTCAGTGCATTCATGGTGTTGATCGGAGTCGTGGTGGGCATCCTGTTTCTGGAGGAGACGCATGCCATGAAGAAGAACGAGAAGGATCGCGGCAGGCAAGTGGGAGACTACATCAGTGCCAAGCTCTCCGCTCTCGGCCCATTCCACTCGGGAGATCGTGCGCCAGAGAAGCAAAGCCTGATCCGCAGCTCATGGAACGCCCAAGATGATGAATTCGAAGAAAGCCTGCCCGTCTACCGGAGTCAAGATAGCTCGCCTCGGCTGTCACCTCAAGAAGACCCAGAACTCGCGGAACCTGCTCCCATCAGTGGGCCTGGTACACCGGGCTTCAAGACGTTCACCAAGCCGGTTATCATGAACATCATCTCTTACGGCATTCTTGCTTTGTGAGTAGAGCTTGGATATCTGTCTTTCGGTGGAGGAGGGAAATGACAAACTAACATCATCTATAGCCACACAATGACATTCGATCAGCTTCTCCCCGTCTTTCTCAGTACCGCTCCACCCAAGCACCCGGTCAATGAGCTCCCATTCAAGTTTGTCGACGGATTTGGTCTGGAAACGAAGACAATCGGAGTCATCATGTCTATCCAGGGCATTTACTCCCTTTTCTCGAACTACGTCATTGTCGCGCCAATTACTCGAAAATTGGGTTCCCTTCGATTGTTCCGAATTCTCGCCCTGTCTTACTTTGCACTGTACTTTGTGACGCCCTATCTTGTTCTTGTCCCGGAGAAGTTCAGAATGCCGGCGATTTATCTTCTGGTTATCTGGAAGTGCACTTTCTCGACCATGGCCTACCCCAGCAACGCCATTCTCCTTGCCAACTCGGCACCATCGAAGCAAGTTCTTGGCACAATCAACGGGATCGCGGCCTCGACAGCAAGCCTGTGCCGAGCAATGGGCCCGACGGTTTCCGGCTTGCTGTACGCTCTTGGACTACGGACCGGCTACTCTGGCTTGGCTTGGTGGTTCAGCGCCATTGTTAGTATTGTCGGAGCCTACCTAAGCTTGCAAATCACCGAGGGCGGCGGACACCTGGACGTGAAGGTCGACGTGCTGGAGGGGCTAGAGGATGAGCCGCTGCTGGTCGACTACGACGACGACAACGACGTCAGAGCGTAAAAGGAGAAGACAGGCAAGAACCACTCTTCCAACCCTTGAACTCGGCCTAAGCGGGCAGGCCTGGCCCGGGCCACGGCAGTTTCACCTGATGCGTCACGAATTTTCTCGGTCCCTCTTCTCACAATAAAACAATACCCACTTGACTTAAACGGCGAACATTTATGGATTGGTTTTGAAGCGGCACGTTTGCCCTTTTCTACATTCATGCAGCATGGACTTTTTTCCCTGGGGTGGGATTTCTTTTGGGATTTTCTCTTTTCACTCTTATATAGACAAGCGCACGTCACCCTCGGACGGATCATTCTCACGGCATGCGGCGGCGCAAAAAACATGAGGGATATGGTATTTTTGGCATATTTGGAATTTTCTTCTGGTTCATTTGATTTTATTTGGTTTATTTCTCTTGCTCCCCTTTAATTCGAAGGCGGGGCTGCTTCTATTTTTTCTCTCTTGTCTTGCGTTTCACAGCATGGGCGTTTCAACCCCTGAGAGCCAACTGGATTGGTCATCGGGGGGCATTTGGAACTAGATATGGGTTTTGGGTCAGCTCGGAAGCGGTGGAAAAAAAACATCTTGTTGCGCGTTCTTTGTGTGGGCGAATTTCGCCTTGGTAAACGATGGGGTTGGTTTTTGGGATTTCTGATATAGGTTTAAGATTGGCCAAGATACTGACTACGCGGTCGGGCATACTTGGCTATTAATGAAGGCGATTGAGCAAAGCAATCCATCTTGAGTGCCTGTCTGAAATAGTGAAATGAAGTAACCGGATAGCTTGTAGAGATCATCTGGGACCATCACTGTTCCATATATCCGTCCATTTCCCGAGATGCTCCCTATAATAAACGGTATTGGCATATCGGAAGACAACAGCAACATCTAAATCCAACTAGATGGAAATGAAGGCAGATTCCGAGAAGCTAATGGCTATTGACGGGCTGGTTGATGTGATGTGTGGAATATGAAGGTCAATTTACTTTACGTAGCCAAATCCAGTAGGTCCTAATCGCTACGGGTAGCTCAATCTTGGGAGCTAACTTAGCGGGCGACCGATAAGGCACCAGTTGCACCGTTGGATTGGTCATCGTGCGTTGGCTCCCCCTCAACGATATCAGCTTGGATCTCTGAAATCTGCTGCCGAGGCTAGACGAGTGCTGATAGGCCAATGACAGTTGATAACCCCAGGGCCGGCCCTCTGCATACCTGCTCCTGTTGGTGTGCGGGGGCGGCGCATCGGCTCCATCTTCTTATCAGTAAAGTTGGACCCCCAACCTGCTGTGCTCAGTACTGCAGGACTCCGTGCCGGCCTGTCCAGAGGATTGGCCTTGCCCACATATCCATGTCCGTCCTGCCCTGCACCTGACCCGGACCACGATCTTCACGCAAGCAAACAACCGGGCGAGGCAAGCTCCAGGTCAGACCAAGCAGCAGAGACTCCCGGATCGCGTGCAGCCCGCGGACCACTACCAGCTGTGTTAAGAGCCTGCCCCAGAGCGCATCGTCATTGTCATGATTATTTTGCGACCCAGGCTGCCTTCTAGCCCCAGCCCGCTCACCGATCGTGCTGCATCAACGAGCAGCAGCACAATGGCATATTGGCAAAGCTCTGTGGCTCCACGATAGAATTGTATCCCAACGGCCGGCTAATACGTACACCGGCACAAGCACCTACCTATTCACTGTTCCATGCCCGAATTGATGTGAGTTGGGAGCCGAGCCCGCCCGGCCTTTTTCGGCGGACTCTTGTGTATGGTGTCTCTATGTGCTGACGCCATCCGGCCAGACCAACCCCAGCATCTCGAATCCCCTCATCGCTCATCCGCGATCACACTATGCCTTCGCATGGCCCTCCTTCGCCAAATGTGCAGCCGGCCAAGCGCCAGAGACAGTCCTCCTTTGATGATCCCTCGCCGCGCGATGGGCAGACGAGCCCATCGGACCAGCTGAGCGAAGCCGCGAGCGCTGGCGCTGGCTCCCAGGCGGCCAAGAGCGGGCAGAGCAGCAACTTCCGCAATGTGAGCGCGTGCAACCGCTGCAGGTTGCGCAAAAACCGTTGCGACCAGAGACTGCCGAGTTGTGCGAGCTGCGCCAAAGCTGGTGTCGCATGCGTCGGGTACGACCCGATCACGAAGAAGGAGATTCCTCGCAGGTATGCTTCATTGAGAGCGGTCGGAACATGCGGTGGAGGGGAAATTCTTGGATGAAGAAGAACAAGAAAATGCTGACGTATTTGGCCTTCAACCAGTTATGTGTATTACCTCGAAACCCGTGTCGAACAGCTCGAAAACCTTCTCAAGTATCACGATATTACCTTTCCTCCAGCCGAGAGCCTGGACACATGCTCCCGTCCCTCCAACGATACGACTCGCGCCTCGACCGCCGAGAAGAAACAGCTTAGCAATCAAGTAGAACTAGAAAACCGGGTGCTTTCAAATGCTCGCAATCATTCTGTTGATACGCTGAACGCGAAGAAGTCGGAGCAGAGCCCGGCCATGCTCAACATCGTCAGCCCTTCAAAGTCTCGGTCATTGGCATCCACATCCGGGGTGTCATTCGCCCGAGTTGTTTTTGCTGCCGTGCAATATTCGGTGGCAGACCAGAATGGATCTTCGGATCGCCCCGGGACTCGCCAACCTAGTACAGGAGGTCACACGTCGATGCGCGATTCCTTCTTCGGCCTCCACACGAAACCTACCATCAAGCCCGCCCCATTCCCCAGTCGCGAAGTCGGGCTCCGACTTGTCACACTGTACTTCGAACACGCCAACCCCCAAATCCCCATTCTGCACCGGGGCGAATTCATGAACATGTTTGAGCGAGCGTACGCCAACCCTGCCGAGGTGTGTGGCGCGAGGGAATCGTACATGCTCAACATGGTGTTTGCCATTGGGTGTGGAGTTATCGTCGGAGAGCCAGTCAAAACCGAGGCTTCGGGGGATGGGCCAAGCAAGGGCCAGTCGCAACCAGAGGAGTACCATGCGAGTGCCATTGTCCACCTGGAGTCGTGTTTGAGTAACAGCGGAGGGGGGTTGGAGGTTCTACAGGCTGTGCTTCTCCTCGCTAACTTCGCACTCCTTCGTCCGGTGCCTCCGGGACTGTGGTAAGCTGCACTCTGTTCCCCTTTGCTCGATTCTCTTGTTGCCCTTTCTGGAAATAGATTGCTAAGTATTTAACACAGGTACATCATTGGTGTTGCCGTACGGTTAGCGGTGGACCTTGGTCTACATCATGAAGATAGCGGCGACTCAGACACTTTCGGAGACGTCTCCGATGCCGAGCAAAGCAACGAAAATCGTCCGCGAGAGGGCAGCGCGCAGGAGCGCGGACGGCGACTCTGGCTACGCGACATGAGACGGAGGCTGTGGTGGTGCACCTACTCTTTTGATCGACTTGTTAGTACCTGTGTTGGTCGACCTTTTGGAGTCAGCGACCAGGTCATTACTATGGAGCTTCCTTCACTGCTAGATGATGATTACATCACGCCAGCCGGCATCCTTGAGCCCTCACCGGATGAGCGGCGCCCAAGCTACAAGCACGTAGCACACCACTACTTTCGACTTCGCATGCTGCAGTCTGAGATTCTACAAGTACTTCAATACAACCAAACCCAGATAGCAAGGGCGCATAGTACAGGGATAGTATATCCGGAAATGCACACCACTCATCTACCCTCACCATTCTTGGTGAAGTTTGACTCGTACAGATCCTGGCGGCGGAGTATTGATGAGAGGCTTCTGAACTGGAAGCTGTCAGCACCCACGAGACATGAAACTGGTGTGGCCTTTTCTACCGAGTTTTTAGAGCTCAACTATTGGCAGGCAATAATCTTGCTCTACAGGCAAAGTTTGAGTGTTCCCGCCATGTTCGAGGGAGAATATAACACTTCAAACGAGGTAGACAGCCCTCGAGGATTTACCACCACCGAGCTACGAGAAGATGAAGATAGGATATACATCAAGGTCGCAGAGGCAGGACAGAAGATTTTACGCATATATCGCCAACTTCATCTCAGTGGCCTCGTTAGTTACACATACCTCTCTACCCATCACCTATTCACAGCCGGCATATCATATCTTTACGCTATTTGGCATTCGCCCTTGGTACGAAGTCGATTGGTACGTTCACAACATTAACCAAACCCCAGTTTTTACCTTATTTCTTTTTCTCTTTCTTCTTCTTCTTCTGGTAATGAGTCTAACCTGCTTTCTAGACGATGGACGAGGTAGACTTCACTGTACTTGCTGCCAAGTCTGTGTTCACAGACATGATTGATAAATGTCCCCCGGCTGAGACCTGCCGTGATGCATTTGACCGGACTGCCAGAGCAACGATAAAAATGGCCAATGCGAATGGCGGCTTTGGCAACCTCTCTGATCCGCAAATCCAGAGGACACAGTCCAACAACTGGGGCTCAACCTCTGACACTTCGGGGCATCATACGGCACGCCACAGAAGCCGGCCATCGGACCAGCAGCAGTTCCAGTTTGATCTCTCTCTTTCAGATAACCTATCATCACCCACACTCTCTATAGCAGGCGATGTATCACGCCCGTCGCCACCAGTATCCGTGAACAAGAACTTTGATACAGACTACGGAATGTCCGCCCGTAGCGGACAGAGCCCGGCGGATCGTATAACAGCAAACCGAGAGCTCCCTGGCCCCTCGATGGCTTCTGGGGGGCGTCGCATAGACCCGATCGCAAACACTTCAGGCTCCGGTAACCACAGCATGAGTCAACAATTTGGCCTCCAAGGTACCATGGACTACCCCGACGCCCATTCGATGGACTTTCTCCAGGATCTAGGTGCTAGGAACGGAGGGTTTGGCAACATGGATCAAAACCAGGTTGATCTAGGGTTCGGCCTAAACTGGGAGGTACCCAACGAGTACGGCGAGGGACAGCAGCAGATGAATCCTTTCGATACCTTTTTCTTCGGCGGGCAGCAGGGCGGGAATAGCAACGGTGGAGGTATGGGCATGTGATACAGTGTCTCTCAGTAGAGGCAGCCAGCTCATTCAGGAGAGCGAGCTCAACGAAGAAAAGGAGCTTGTTTTTTGGGCGTGTTTGTTGGTGGGAAATATTGGCCCACCCCGTGATGATCTTTTGAGTAGGATATATATATGTTAGGATGGCAGGGAAAAAGTAACAAGATACCCTTGTTTCGGTGGCACATGTCAAGAAATGAATATAGAGCTATAGTTTACGCTCTGCTAGGGGAGTTCTCAATGGGAAAGGCAGATTTGGGCGAAATGCCAGGATCATATAGAGACTAGACCTGCAGGGCTGGTGACTTTTCGTAGGATGGATGAAGCTGGTTGAAAAAAAGAGAAACCACAAGGTCGAGAATCACATTTATCGTTTCTATGAAATGGTATTATACCCATGAATATATATATATATCAAAACGCCTTTGTGGTCATATCCAATGATCTGTATAATTGTCGTTGTTCCGTCACACACATCTCTTCATCTAATTGCTCTGCGCAGAAACATGATTATATCCTTGTTGGTATACTCGATAGAGAAAGCACCGGGCTTAACAGCTGGAAGGAAGGGTACCTGATCAATCAATGGAGTAGCTTGGGCTCCGGCGTCTCCTGTCATAACTGCGCTCCCTCCTACGCCTCGGGGGAGTGCTGCCCTCCTCGATGACGACCACCTCGTCGTCCTCCGAGTCAGAATCCGAGTCCGAGTCCGAGTCGGTCAACGTCTGGCGGGACGACGGGGCGGCGTCCACGATGATGGGCTCCCTCGCGTGGGGGGGAGGAGGCGGCGGCGGCACGTGAACCCGCTCGTAGGTCCGCACCTCGTACGAGTCGGCGCTGACTATGCTCGGACCGGGGCGGCTCTTGGGCGAGCGGGTGTGGCGGCTGGTGCGGCGGGACGAGTGCGAGGCGCGCGACGTGCGGCGGACTCGCACCTCGACCATGGAGCCCTGCGACTTGGAGAAGATGGGGGGCCCGAAGCCGAGGGCCGAGTAGCAGATGAAGAGGAGGAGGAGGAAGCCCGCCACGGAGCCCAGGACGATGCCTGCGACTACCCCGGGGTTGAGGGAGTTGTAGAGGCCGCCGTACGTCGAGGGGATGACCTTGAAGTTATCGTCGTCGTCGCGCTCGGCCAGGACGTGGTTGGCGGCTGCGACGAGTGCCGCAGCCGTGGTTTCGATTTGTATGGCCGGCATCCTTGCCCGGCAGGGGGGACCAGAGGGTACTTTTCTGAGGTTCGGGGCGTTGTTGTATACTGGTGTGTTTGTGTCAATGGTTGATAAGGCATGTGCAGCTCGAGCGCAGGGAACGGGTCGCACAGGTTGACGGAGCTCTGTCTGCTGCAAAAGGCGAATGCGACGGGAAGCTAGCAAGAGGCAGGCATGAAGATCGGATGGCGGGCGTAGTTGCGGATCAGGTCGTGATGTGGCTTTCCACTGGCCGGCAGCCTTGAAAGCACAGCAAAGGGGAGGCTTGCGTGCATGCAGATGGAAAGAGTCAGTGGTTGGTTGGATGGCAACAATCAGATGCCATCCCTCACCTGCGCATGCTGCAAAGCGGAGCTGCTGGGCTGCGGGGCAACGGCGAGCCAGCTGAGCCCACAACACAGCCAAATAAGGCCTGGTCATCTCTGGTGGTGCGCTTCCTCCCGCCTCCGCTCCCGTCTGCCTTGCCGACCTTGAGCTTTCCACGTACTAATGTAATAGAAGGGCATTTGACATCTGGGTCTGTACGTGATGAATGAATACCTGCTGAAAATTAAGGCAGCTACGAATTCCAGCAACGACCATTTCGTCTCAGTTTAGGCGCCTGTCTGCCCCAGCGACCCGTAATCCCCACTAACCGCCAAGGCACTTTAGCTTTGATCTACCAGTAATTAAACGCCTATCGAATCCGCTGGTCCTTTATCCTCACCAAGAACAGACGCACCTTTCTGTTTGGTTGTGTTTGCAGGGCCGTTTGGATTGAATAAAGGTGGGGATGGAACGGGAAGACCAACAAGCCATGATATCAAGCTCTTTTATACTAAATCCCACAGTCCCTGGCATTCGGGAGCAACAGCCGACTTACGCTGACAAGGCTTACGTTTAAGGCTATCTACCGTCCAGCAAGTTGGCTCCCCTCTATCACATCGCACCGCGCAATGGAAGGCTGCTCCTTATAGCGCTTCAAGATCTAAGACATACTGAAAGAGAATAAGGTCGTAGTCCCCTCGTGACAGCAATAAATCGTTAGGGTAGTTTCTGACAAGATTACGGAATGTGATATTAGGCTGACGGTGATCGATGGCAAGCCTCCCTTGATTGGACAATGCTACTGCGCTAATGCCGCCTCGCTACTGTTCGTATACGCACGTTGGAGAGGCAAGAGAGGCTTAGCATCGACATACCAGTCGCCCATCCACGCCAGCATTCCTCAGCCTCAATGGGATTGCATCAGAGCTCGTCGCTGTCTCAGACAAAAGCACCATAAGCTTGAGCGGCCTCGGGCACCACTCCCGGATTACGTGGACAGCGCTACGCTTTAAAGCCTGCCAGCCATCCATCAATCACAAGCAACTCGGTTAATCTAGGGCGTCACCATCAATTAAGAATCGCATTTCGCAGGCCACAAGTGCAGCAACTCGGAATTTCAAGCAGGCATGAGGGAGAGTTATGACTCCGGTTCGCCTCGCGATAGCGATGAGCCGGGAGAGGTCGAGGTCGGCCAAATCAAGCGCAGGCCCCGACCCTGCAAAGGTCACACCAAATCCAGGAGAGGATGCTTCAATTGCAAAAGGAGAAGGGTCAAGTGTCCAGAGACTCTGCCCAAATGTAACAACTGCGTCCGCCTTGGCCTGAACTGCACCTACCCTCCCGAGGGGGGCCTGGTGCCAGCGTCCCGGCCGTCACACACGTCCAGCCCAATGGCAATGCCCCTCTCGTCGTCGCCAACACGCTTTTCCATCGAGGACCTGAGGTTCTTCCATCATTTTCTGTTCGCTGCATATCCGCCCCTACCAATCGGCGGAAAAGAGATCTGGAGAGACATGGCTGCGCTCTCTCATGGCGTAAGTCCACCCATCCCCTCCGCCCGCTTCCAGCACTGGGGATCAGCATCAACCTCCTATCTGTATGTTTACCGGGCTAAAGATAACCTGTAGTTTGATTTCCTTGTTCATGCAGTCCTCGGCCTGGCGGCTTCACACCTGACCCTGGCGAGCCGGAACGAGGTGGACTACTCTGCACACGCCCTTTCGCATCGTGTCCAGGCCATCAATTCTCTAAATACCGCTCTCAACAAGCCATGTGCCTCAAAGGCGGAGGGCGATGCTCGGTTTGCGACACTAATGGCACTCACGTTTCAGTCTTCCTATATGACTGACGGCATGGTTGATTTTCTTGCGATGATACGGGGGTGCACTGTAGTCCCGGGCACAGGGATGCCCTCATTTAGCGAATCTGTATTCCAAGGATTCAGCGCCGAGGCACATCAACAGTCCATCGTTGAGATGAACGAGGACCGGACGGAGGCAAAGGATCAAAGGTTGGCTTGTTTCGCCATCGATGGTCTCAGTTCATTGTATGCCCTACGCCCATTTTGCCCAGAGGGCAGCCTAGAGAGGACATATCTGGATGCTCTAGAAGGTGTATTAGAGCTCACTATCAAGTCCCCTCTTGAAGGTAAGCTCGTCTCGGTTGCCTCCATTCCCAATCTACCCTCGAGGGCGCGTCCGAGGCTTACTTCTGCATAGCATTCACCTCGCTTTGTTACATGTACAACATCTTCAACGGCGTCGACCACGAGAACTTCACCAGCTTCATCGATCCTTCCAACACGGTGCCCCAGATCCTTCTAGCACACTTCTTCCTCGTCGAAACCAAGATCGGCCTGCTCACGCTCCAGGCCATCATCGAAAGCTTTCCATTCAGAGGCGTGATCGTCGCCTCCTGGGTCCACAACGTGGCGCGCACGCTCCCCGAGGAATTCCACCGTTACATGGACTGGCCGCTGTCGGAAGCCGCCTCCATCGACGTTTGGATGACGCCAAACATGCTCGACAGCTCGATGTCGTCACCCCCGTGACCCTTGGGACGTTGAACCAGCCCCCCGCCTCTCCAAAAAAACCGTTGAGCCCGGATGGCTCCACCCCCAGGGCTGAAACTAGTTCTTGAACTGTTCTCCAGAAAGACGTTGCCTTGAAAACTTGGGGAGTTCGTCTCAGGTTGCGCATTGAAGTGATACACCTGGACCCACCAAATTTGGTTATGGGGGTTGCATCACGGCCCGCATGGGGTCCCAACTTTGAGTCTCGGGTGGAGGTGGATCTGCAATCCTATTTATGCGCTGCACCCCTCCGCCAGATTCATTATAAATATTGATCGAGCCATCATATCACAGGGTGTCGATTGCAGACTTGGCGGCTCCCCGGGCCCTTGGCAGCGAGGAGGTGAATATCCAGGGTCTCACACCCAAGGCCAAAGCATGCACAGAACAAGAAAGCGGATGGCAAGAGAATCTAACGAAAGCTCTTAGGTCTATCATTTCAGATCAGTCATCTAAGTAAATATGCTCATAATCTAAACCATTAACGGGTATCGTGCTCCAGGAAGGAGAAGGTAGGCCAGGGGGAAAGCGCTCGGTCCAGCGAGCCGAGATACAGAAGGACAACAATACAAATGGGAGAGAAGAGCCACATTCATAATAAAAATAAAACTCCACCAAGGCATAGAAAGGCTGGTAGTTCTCACATATCGTCATTCGTTGGAAACCACCCTTGAGACGCAAGACAGTCCTCCTTTCGTAAAATATAACATAGGGGTAGAAAAGACATTGGAGGGAAAAGAGGAAGGCTGAGGGTGTTGATACATTTAGTCGTCAGCAATAGGATGCCATTAATATATATTTTGAATGGGAGAAAAGGAAAAGATGTCGAGTAATGGTTTAACCGAGGACACCAGTTTTATGGCGCGAATGTAAGAATAGATTAGGAAATTGCCGCTGAGGCTAATGTCGAAGAAGGTGTCATAACTTGCCGACAGTATGAAGCTTCGGTGAGATTTGTTGAGGGATTGGAGGCAGTGCGCACGTTGGAGGCGGAGCCGGTGGTGGTCCGTCCGCCAACTGCGGCATACTGCGACGGTTTTGTAGGGCCAGGGCTTTGGCCTCGGCCTTGATGTGGGAAGGAGCTGGAACAGGAGGAAGGGGGATGGTAGGGGGAGGCGCAGGAGGTTCGGAAATGGATTCAGGTTTACCAAACGCCGGCACGAACGGTAGCATGCTGGACCTCTTGGCCACTCGCGATGGCAGGGATGCAAACGCACCCCCTCGTTGATGCCTATCCAATGTGGACAGCGTAGGTTCGATCCCAAATGACCGGAGAGGGGCTGACCGGAGGCTGCGCATCCGGTTCGGTTCGACTGAAGCATCTGTGCCGTAGAAAGATTCGCGTGGCTTGCCAAGTGCTCCTAAGCTAGCGAGTCTGCGTGGGCCGTGATGGGGTTTCACATTCCGGGGCGGTTTCTGTAGTCTGAACTCGGTGTCTGACGGTACAGGTTTGGTGGGATCGAATTCCAGCATCTGGCCGTCGAGATAATTACTCGCCACAGAGCCTCGCTCTGATTGAGAAGGTACGATCTCTACTTGATCAAAGGTTTCTCGCTGGGAAGAAAGAGGTTGATCCTCAACCATGGATAAAGGGCGAGAAACCCGCGACGTGGTAGGCGGTCTGCGGGATGGTATCCTCAACATCATCTCAACATCTCGCGGAGTGGTAGACGGACTTCCAGACTCAAATGTCGAGATCCTAGTCGAAAACCTGCGGTTGGAGGGCACGCTGAAATTGGGAGCCGGGCTCCCAGCTGACAGAGGCCCAATACTATCAGTAGGCGAGAACGTCGTAGATAGAGGTCTCTGCCCAGGCTGCCCACCTTTTACTTCAGCAAAAGGGTGCACGGTTTGGAGGGACTGCCTTCGGTCGGCAATCGCGGATCCGTTGAACCGCATTCTCGTCTCAGTGGTGCTGGTGTCAAGGGTATAATGGCCTATGTCTTCGAGTCCCGAGGGGAAAGAATCCACGGTGGGAGAGCAGGCTGGCGATGAAGAGGTGGTAGAAGTGACCATTGTTCGCTGACCTGATGACACATATGAAAGACGGTTAGAGCTATTTCTGAGACTCTCGAGTTGTTGGCCGTCGTGGGAGATGACGCTGTTAGTC